TACAATTAAAATTTGCCCAACACTGATACATACATGCATAAGTAATTCGTCCTTCCATTAAATGTCTCGTTGCATGCATCATTCAAGAGGTCATCAATTCTAAAACAGGTAATACAAATTTGTAATTGAACTCTGTAGAGTTGAATTTCATGAGGATATAATACATACATTCATCTATCTAAAACAAGTAAATTTTGGGGAATTCGCCAAATGTCCTGTCCATGAAATGAAGACATACATAATTACTAATTAACAATATATCTTTCACTTTTTTATGAAGAATATAAATTAATACATATGTATTTATTATTTCTATGTCCGCTTTAGTTGCTCCTGGCGAGCATTGGTTTCATGGTAAACTGGAGTTTATGTTAAGTCAGCGCGGGAAACCTCTCTTGGTACATGACGGTCATACTTTTGGCATACAATACGTACGCAAGGATAAAAAGTATTGGCAGTGCAATTTGTCAAGAAAATTTAATTGTAAAGCTCGTGTCACCACCACTGACAAAGGTGAGATTCTTGTTACAAACAACGAGCACTGCCACACCGAAATACGTCAGCATCTACGTAAAGATTATCAACGTAATAAAGTTATGATGAATGCATTACTGAATTTGAGCACAAACATAAGGCGTCAGAGCAAGAATGACAGCACCACAAACAATTTCAATAATTTAAATAATTTTTCGGCGTTAGCTTCTCATAGTAGCAGTTTGTTGAATGCTGCCGCCACTGCTGCTGTCATTGGAGCATCCAACAGCGGCCATATGCATAGTTTTCACAGTGAGAACGTCGAACAACCGCAGCATCACATTCCGGGCGTGGTCGATTTCACGAAGGATAGAGGTGAGAATTCTCCGTCCACCCGCATCGATCCTCCCACTCACAATCAATTAACCATCGACGAAAATGCCGATACATCGGTGCCTTTGGACTGCGGTCTGCGACAAGCTACGGTGACAGCGGGACCAAGTGATTTTGAAAAAGAAGTAAACAATCGGGGTAATAATTATAACGGCACAGCTTGGAAGTGCAAAAATGAGATCGTAGACTCCTGAAACCAAAAAAAAATCATTAGCTTAATGCCATTCGTTTATAGGATGAACGCAAATTAATTTGTATTTATAGGAAATTTAGTTTACCAAAGACCGCCGACACTCGGATGCTTTCACTAAAGCGTATAAAATACTCGTACTTGTTAAAACTCAACGTACAACACCCAAATCCAAAGAATTTTTTATCTACATACCTTTTTCTAAATATAAAATAAAGTTGACAATTTGTTTTATTTTAAGAAATTATTTTTTTTAATAAAATACAATTCGGGGAAGTGATTTGTTTTTTATTTCGCATTTTAGCTAGTACAAATCGAATGCCACATTTAAATATTAATTACACGACTTAGCTTCTGGATGCGATTTAGTAGTAGATCGCCCTGTTTAATGGTAGCTTGGTATTGCCAGTTTTTGTTATCTGGTCGATTGGTTTCTACAATACCGCCGACGCGATCCACTTTTGCGTGGAGGCGACCAGCTGCAATGAAACGTGAAAGTTCTTGGTCTATGTAGTCTACATCTACACCGAATGCCTCCGCCATGTATTGCAATGTTAACGACCGATAGGATTCAAGTAGTTGTGTGTAAGCGAGAATGCGCATTTCGCGAACATAGAATCGATAGTGCGGATGTGCCAAGTAGTCTGCACGTAGTACTAATTCCACCTCAGCTAAGTGTTTGAAAAATTCGGCATATTGACAATTGTAAAGTGCAAATAGGTAACTCTTTACATCAGGCAGACCATGAAGCACTTCCTGAATTTCGGCGCCCTTGACTACTTTGTCCCGCAATTCATTACGGGGCAATGCAATCATTGCTACATATACAGTGTATCGCACAAATGTGGGGTAATCCATCAGTTCATAGGAGGTGAAGGTACTCACGGTATCCAAGAAGAAGTTAGCAGCTGCTTTAAAATCTCGCACTGCTACTGAATAAATGCCTTGATAAACCTTGAGACGGTTGCGTCGATCCCAGTCACCGCCCTCCTCAATGAGATGTTTGGCCTTATCAATGTTTCGGGTTATTAAATCATGGTCTAGGTAGAAAAGACCAAGACGTATAAGATGAAAGATAATGTCTAAACGATGACCGAGTGATACCGTCTTTTCATATGTTTTACGAAAAGCAGTTTCGGCTGCAGCTTTGTCACCGATGCGACACAAGTATTCAGACTTCTTCAAATTGGCCTCGCGTACCTCCATCTCGCCCAAATTTTTTTCTGCATCTTCTATTGCTTCATCTAACTTTGTTAACTCCAAACGATTTTGCTCCTTCATACGAGCAAGCAAATCCTTATCCACTACCCAATTCAATTCCAAGCATATGTGTTCGTACCAAGGGGCCATGTTGTCAGCACGCACTGCGTCCAATAATTTCAATTTCAAGGCAGCATCTTGTTTATGCTCTGGTAGCGACAAGAGAAACTTGTACTGAGCTAATTCCAATTTGGGGTTCTTCTCTAGACCCTCTTCTTCCAAGTTTTCGACAGGCATTTCAATGTAACACAACAGCAAAGTCGAAAATATCAAACGAACTATAAAAACCTTTTTTGTTATTCAAGCCGCAAAGTCATGTACCTACTAAACTTGGCTGCTGTTCACTGGCTTGGTTCACGCCCCCTAATATTTACAGCTGATGGCCTGACAAATTCTAATTAGAAATTTAGCATCCGAATTTTTATGATGGCCAATATAAAAATTATAATTGTTTTAATCAAAATATATATGCACTTATCCTAATGTAATAGAAGAAGAAGCTTTAAAAACAATTTTAAACGCAATCTATGGAATCGTTTTGATTAAAATATTTTTTCCAAATACAACCATGCAAAACGCAGCGAATTCGTTGACAGCTGTCAAGTGAATAGAAAAAAGAGGGTGTTGATCGATAATCACAGAAAAGTGAAAATTAGCAAAATTTTTAATTCAAGTTGGACGTTTTGGTGTTGTATATACTATTGAAGGAAGTGAAAAGGCTTTTTGCTGAAATGATTGGTGGATTATTTGTATATAACCACAAGGGGGAGGTACTAATCAGTCGCGTATATCGTGATGATATTGGACGTAATGCAGTGGATGCTTTTCGTGTCAACGTCATCCATGCAAGGCAGCAAGTGCGTTCCCCGGTAACGAATATTGCAAGAACAAGTTTTTTCCATATAAAGGTATGTAGTCTTAAAAAAATAAATTTTTTACATAAATGTAATAAATATTTTTTAGCGTGCCAATATTTGGCTAGCTGCCGTGACCAAACAAAATGTAAATGCAGCAATGGTATTCGAATTCCTATTAAAAATTATCGAAGTAATGCAGTCATACTTTGGTAAAATTTCTGAAGAAAACATTAAGAATAACTTCGTTTTAATATATGAATTGCTCGACGAGATACTCGACTTCGGTTATCCGCAGAACACGGACTCTGGCACGCTGAAGACGTTCATAACGCAGCAGGGTATTAAGTCAGCCACTAAGGAAGAACAAATGCAAATCACCTCACAGGTAACCGGTCAAATCGGATGGCGGCGTGAAGGCATAAAATACCGTCGCAATGAACTTTTCCTCGACGTGTTAGAGTACGTGAATCTACTGATGAGTCCACAGGGCCAAGTGCTTTCCGCACATGTTGCTGGAAAAGTAGTTATGAAGTCGTATCTTTCAGGTATGTATGTGCTAAACAGCATCCTAAAGCAACAAGAATAAAATTTTTTAAATTTCTTTATACAGGAATGCCAGAGTGTAAATTTGGTATAAATGACAAAATAGTGATGGAATCTAAAGGCCGTGGCATTGGCGGCAATTCAGAGGCGGAAACCTCACGCTCAGGCAAGCCTGTTGTCGTAATCGATGACTGTCAGTTTCATCAGTGTGTGAAATTGAGTAAATTCGAAACCGAGCACTCCATTAGTTTTATTCCACCCGATGGAGAATTCGAGTTAATGCGCTATCGCACTACCAAAGACATTTCATTGCCATTCCGAGTTATTCCTCTTGTACGAGAAGTTGGCCGTACCAAAATGGAGGTAAAAGTAGTACTGAAATCGAATTTCAAACCGTCACTATTAGGCCAGAAAATAGAAGTAAAAATTCCGACGCCATTGAACACTTCGGGAGTACAATTGATTTGTCTCAAGGGGAAAGCCAAATACAAGGCTTCAGACAACGCAATTGTGTGGAAAATAAAGCGTATGGCAGGCATGAAAGAGACTCAACTATCAGCGGAAATTGAGTTGTTAGAAACGGATACGAAGAAAAAATGGACACGTCCACCTATTTCAATGAATTTCGAAGTACCATTCGCGCCATCAGGATTTAAAGTACGATATCTAAAAGTATTTGAACCAAAACTGAATTACTCCGATCACGATGTTGTAAAATGGGTACGCTACATTGGCCGCAGTGGTCTCTATGAAACTCGCTGTTAAAATGGCGAAGACTCTGGACGAGTAAAAGAGTAAAGAGTTTTCCGATTTGTATTCTCAATCTAATTGAACGCGCTATATTCCACACTAGTTCTTAAATGTATAGCCATTACATACTACATACATAAATGCATATTAATCATATTATTTAATCACATTTTTTATTATGACATTCTAATTTTGTAAAATTACTATTGGTCTTTATTACATACGTATATTCCTCAATTTTATACTACATACCTATGATATTATTTTTTTTTCATAACATGAATGTTAATTAAAAAAAATCACGTTTTCTGCGAACAACTTATGCGAATACAAAAGTGAATATGCTCTAACCTCCCTTTGTGATTCTTAGATTTCTATTCAAAATTTTCATGCGGTTCAACAAATGTAAACCTTTATAAACTAAACACAGTATATGTGTGAAATCTTAAGTTTGTGTAGGAATTAGCCCAGCAGAGTGGTACTGTCGTACCAATTTTATCTGTGTACGATTAAATGGAAATGATTAACAAAAAATGTTTAGAAAATATGAAGGTTCCATGAACTTCTTTCTTGTTGATGCTAGCATCCACAGAAGATGTGTACTCATGAGCAACGTGCAAATGTTTGCAGAGGAATTGAAATTGGTGGAGTCAAAGGTAACAAAAAGTGTGATGAGCACAGAAATTTATGTATATGGAGTTAAATAATGGAATTAGATGGCTTGTATTCTCATACATACATATATAAATGTCAAAACCTATAATATGTATGCATATGTTTCCACATATTGCTCACTTTTCTTCTGTTGTATAATAGGCGTAAGCATATCGAGCCCTAACCGCCAAAGTAACGTAAGCGACACTATTTACAAAATTTTCTTTTTGATGCAGAAATATTCCTAGAGCATCTAGATGCATTTCTGCATCAAAGAGAAAATTTTGAAAAAAATGTCGCTTACGTTATTTTGGCGGTTAGGGCTCGATATGTATAGACCGTAAGATAATAAATATGTATGAAGAAATTCTAGAACACAAAACTCGAAACATGTAGAAATATTATAATTATGTTAAAAGTGTTGAATTGACAGTTACGACAAATAAAAATTTAAATAATTTAATAACGGCGTTTTTCTTTTAGTGAGTGATGTCAGCCAAGTAAATCGGTTCAAAAATGAGTCATTTTGCTCCAGATATGCAGATCCAAAAAAAGCAGTTCAGTAGAAAAATGACATAAGCAGAACGTTTGCGAGTTTTCATCGCGTAAACCCACTATTATTTATTGCGAAAATGTTTACTGAAAGTGGTAAAATATGTACATAGATATGTGCTATTACGAAAATATGACGAAAAATCGCAACTACCTTCGAATCGAAATACCTCCCTAGCAACAGTTTAATGAGTTTTGGCGAGCATTAATATACTGACATTAGGGTGGTAGGAACTGAGATTTGCTGGGTAAGTAGTAGAACAGGGTACTTGGGGTCAATGAAAAGTTGTATTCGTCCGGAAAAGAAATCGAAATTGCCTTGTCGATACTTTAGATCCACGGTTGAACGGCGAAGTTTTTTTCTGGTATGGCCTAGGGTACATACATATATATGTATATATTACTAGGGTGTTCGACTAATCGCCCTTTTTCGAAACCGGTTTCGAAAATGGCAATTTGAAAAAAACTCAATTTCAAATTAAGAAAAAAACCGATAAATCGGTATTAAAATACGTATTTTCTCTACAGTAACACTTCCTGTTAGTCAGAAAACAGGACGGAAATTGCAATATCACTGCTAAATATAGGTATATCTTTAACTTAGAAATCAAAAAGCAAAATTACTTCGAAGTATTTTGGATTAAACAGAAAAAAAAGAATTAGTGCAAATTAGTGGGCTTCACGAATCCTAACAAGATTAAATCGTTAAAACAACAGTCTTTTTTCGAAAAAACGTCGGCCATGTAGAACCGACGACACTAACCACCTACATCCCAAATTCGCCGGATCAGGCCTTTCACTGATTTAGAGCTTAGTAAGCTGCAACAAGAGGAACCGCAAAGATTTTGGTTTGATTTTCCTTTATTTTGTTTAAGTAGTTTTCTCGGATTCCAGCATTTGCTATCGTAAATTTTGGTCCCTAAAAATCTCCAAATGAATAGCAGCCGCGCCTAAAACAGTCAACATCTAGTTACATGCCCCTCATATTGCATTGCTTCTGTTACTATTCCATGTTGCGTGCTTTTAGGCCCCACTGCTTTTCATTTAGAGAATTTTGACGATGGAAATTTAGCCTAGCGATTGCCAGATTTATACTCCAGTATTCCGATACAAAATTAATAAAAATTTTCTATATAAATCTTCTTATTTGGCAGTACAACCATTTGTCGTTTTGGGCCTAGACCAAAAAACTTCGCTAGTTGCCTCTCTCCTTTGCGGATTTGCGCCAGTTTTTCATCCCAAGTGAGGACAGATCTTCTGCACTTGGTGCTTCCATTGTGTTCGTGGGCGCCCTTGTTTTCGTTGTCCACCCATGGGTGCGAAGTCGAAGGATCTTTTCAAGCTGCAAAATCCTCCGTTGACATCCGTGGGCTTCAGGCCAGCGATGTCAATATCGTCTGCATATGCCAGCAACATTGTGATTTTTCTGTATATGGTGCCGCTGCGATTCAGATTGGCAGCTCTTATAACGCTATGTATGTACATACATATGTAGTTCATTTTCAATAAAATAAATATTTCCGCCAACTTAAATATGTATATCAAGTAGTATGTGTATCTGGAAAAAACATCTAACGGTAAACTCAAAGTTAGGAATAATTTAGAGCAGGGGTTCCCAAACTTCACCCACTAAATAGCTTTCATTTTATGTAACCGCACATCAAATTACTAAAAAATAAAGGCACTACAATAACTCAGTTTTAGAGGGCGTGTTTTTCACATATGGGCCATTCCATTGTGATGGGTGGGACATTTTACTCGGAAATATGTGACCTGGTCTACGAAAAGGGAGCTTACGTGCGAAAACTAGTTTTCTGTGAAAAAGCTGTTAAAAGTAAGCAACTCGTTTCGTCAGTTTCTCATTATCTCGTTAATTGTTCTCCGCGCCGGACGTCCAGTAAGTGTTGTTGTTGGTCCAGTAAGTGTTGTTGTTGGTCGGAATATTATTATAGTTCATCGTGTAAGTTGCTAGTGTGGAACATTTAAAAATTTAAAATTAAAAAAAAATTTTTAGTACACTTCTAAGCAAGTTAGGATATTCTGCTTTTCACCACGCGAAAAAGCATCTCATCTTCCATCCGAATCAACCAAAAAGTGAAAATTGATTTTTTGACACCTAAGCCCCCTTTCCGTAGACCAGGTCACATATAATCATTTGTAAATTAAATTATGTTCTTTGTAGGTTTTATTTGAATGAATGTGACTAGTGGCACATTGAAAATCCCTCCATTTTACCTTTGCGCACTAAAAGACGAATCTTAGGCAAAAAATACTTAATTTTGAAATAATAATGAAATTATAAACTGCACGCTTGCGTTTCTATTGAAAATTAAGCTTTTTTTTTGATTTTCATAGGAACAACTGTTAAAAAATATTTAAAGTTGTGACTGGTGTGACAGATTGTTGTGACTGTTGTAAGTGATTATACATATTGTTCGATTCCACAGAAAAGTAAGCCATTCCGATTTTGTCTCTCTTTCAAGTATTGTAAATATTGGTGATTACACTGGATCACAAATTTTAATTTTGATTTTGTTCTCCAGGCGCCTTTATCCAATTTGTATGTAGAATCGCTCGCTGATTCTGAAAAGCGAGTTAACTTTTTTTTGTAAGGATACGTTTTCCAGATATTGGCAATTTAACGTTATTTAGCTTAAAAAAAAGAGTGGTTCCACTTAATCAGGCATATCTTACGAACCAATTAAATGATCGTAATACGAGATACGGTAAATGAAAGAAAATAAAATTCTCCATAAACCCTGCATATATCACTTTTCGATCGCCCTGGCGGTTTCTGAAAAATTAATTAATCATTCCAGATTTTTTGTTTTTTTTTTTGATGGAAAAATGCAAAAAATTCAAATTTTAACGGGGAAAAAGTCAAGAAGCAACAGCTGCTTAGTAAATGTCTTGGCGTTGTGTTAAAGCCTATTATTTTAGAAAAAAAATTAAGCTACCAATGAAAAAAATCGATAAATAAATTAAAAAATAATGATTGGTCGAATTAAATGGATTTTTTATATGAAATATGAGCAGGAAAGAGTGTTACTCATACGCCACGTACATCTGAGTAAGTAAAGTGTTTGTATCGTATACAAGAGGTGTCATAAATGATTAATTAATTTCTTAGAAACTGTCAGAGCTATCGAAAAGTGATGTACATACACTTTATGGAGAATTTTATTTGATTTCACTTCCCGTAACCCGTATTATGATTATTCAATTGGTCCGTAAAATATACGTGATTAAGTGAAACCCCTATTTTTTAAAGCTGAATATATAGGAATTGAATAGTGGTATACATAGAACATTTTTGCTGTAAACCAGTGTTATTGGTGTTCACTATATCTGTCAGCTGCTCTTGACACTAATTCTTATCATGTCCAAGCATTTTTTGTTTAATATTTGGCTCCTTTTGTCGAAAGAACCTAAAAACAGGTTTCAATACAACAACAAGGAAAATTACAAAAATGTAAGCTTTCCTTAATTTATTTTGGCGGATGAAGTTCTGAACAGTACAAAATAAATTTGTTTAACAACATTCGTTCTAAGTTAGTGAAAAAGTTGTTTCGAACTCCTTGTACGTCGTAATGAAATGTACCGCAATATAAAGTGTAAATGCTGTGACAGACGGCAAAGCGTATGCATATAATCTGGCACACATATGCGCATAATAATTTTACCCTTATGGACGGCAGTAATTCGTATAGACGAGGCGCAAGGGCGTGGGTTCGAGTTCCACGGCCAGTAGAATTTTCATTTACTTCGTTTTCATTCTTTTTTTATAAGTTCGATATATTTTTTACGTTGCTTTCAGTTAGTTGTTGTTGACTTTTTAATAAAATTCAACTCTAAAAATTTAAATTATATAATAGTAAAATAAAAAAATGTGATATAAAATAAAGCAAATAAAAATAAAATAAAGTAAAATTAAATATGGGTGTTTCCAGCGGAAGGTCCACCACGACAAAAAAAATAAAAGTTTTATATCTAACGTATTTACGGGCCGATTTGTCTGCTTTTTAAAATATATACTGGCTATGTAAGTAGAATCATATTTGCATAAAATGGTCTTCCTAGGTGGTGCCAAGGTCGAGATATTTCGAAAAACCGTATTTATGGTCCGATTTGGTTCGAATTTGGCGTATGTGGTTGAAACATAATAAATCATAGATTTAAGTCAAAATATAAAGTATATTCGACATAAAATACATGTTTTATTTGCGTTAAAAATTCATTTAAAAGCAATATTAACAAAAATATAACGATGGAAATTTATGTCACGTCACGCCACGTCACGTCACGTTTCACACTTGGGGTTGTAAAAGAGAATTGAAACAATTTGCATTAATTCAAAAAACTCTAAAAACAACTAGAATTGCTCCAAATCATATTAAAATAAGTTTCATGAAATTAGCCATCCACAATTCACAGAGTTTTGCGATTTTATAAGAAAAGAAAAAATCAACTTCCATTTTTTGTCACGAGGGTCCCTTTAAATTTTTATATTTCAGGACCAAGCAGTTCGATTGATTTCATTTTTCGGTTAAATGTAGAGCTAATTATGTGCTATACAATGGCCCAAAAAAGTTAAAGAAAACAAATGGTATTCCTTTTTTGTATCACATTGAAATCGTACGACTGTCACGTGCGCCACCATGGGAATGCCCATATCTAAAACAAATAAAATAAAAAAATTTAAATAAATAATAAAAACAAAACAAAAGAAATTCGCTATCGCTCCAACCGAGGATCAAACCTAGTAAATACAGGCTTGTAGCCCGCAACTCTCACCACTAGTAATGTTCCGATACGAGTACATATGAGAAAAAACTCGAGTACCTCTACCAAGTACCGAGTATTTTTTGTACTTTTGATACATGTGACCAAGTACCT